TGGGTTCTGTTGGCCTGTCTTGCAGCGAGCACCAGCGACTGCTTCGGAAAGCGATGGCCAGGCACGAGGAGAAGTTTGCCAGCAGCGACATCCAATGGGCTGGGGCCACGGCTTCGACGGCGACGTCGAGTAGCGTTGTGGAACTCTGTGCCACGTGTGTGGACGCCGGCCGAGGCACCTGTGGCCATGACGGAACTGGGCTACTGGCAGGCTGAGGGACAAATCGCCTTCAAAGGATCCTTCCGTTCTTGGGTCCGGACACCGGCACGTGCGAGGTGGAGCTGAAGTCTGTGAAAGTCGGCAACCAGGACAGGGCATCCAGTCATGTGATTTGGCGCTTTAGCAGCGGAAGTTGTGGGTGTGATCATGAGGAGTCATATAATGAGGAGACTCGTTTTTTTTAACGCACTGTGACACAACCCGGTGGTAGGGGAAGGGGGGGCTCGGCGGACAAAAGATAACCCTTCATCATTTGCATCGGCGGTGCAGTTTGCGGGTTCAGTCGAAAGGTCCTTGAGGAGTGCGCGGATGGGTCGTGCCGGGCCATCTTGGACACTGGAACCTCCTTGCAGAGAGCTCAGAGCAGCGATTGTTTTGAACCCGGTTCTGACGTTTCCGAGCCCAGGTTGGGCGTCCCACGGCAGGCTGCGAAATTTGTTTTGCCCTTTGGCCTAGAAAGCCCCCTGGCATGTGCAAGGCCGTACGTGCCATGCACCGCATGCTGGCGAGGCCAGTGGCGGAGGAGCACCTGCAAAGTGCGACTGCACCAATTCAAACAAGGGGTTTTCATTAAAGACAGCTTGGGAAGCTTACCTTACTTGCGGATGGTGGAGATCCAAACTCTTACAATCAGACGCTGCGTTGAAGCGGCCCCAACCATCCACGGCCCGGCCTCCCCACTCTCCGAGTGCTTTCTGTTCCTGCCCTCGGATCGCGCTCTGTACATTCTGCTGTTGGGCGATTTCATTGGTGTCCCTGTGCAGGATATCTCAAACCAAGGAGGCATCGATTGCCGAAGGCAACATGTTTGAGTTCCGTCATGTTGCATCTCCTGCCCTGCCAGAATGTGCTGCTTAAGGCTGCCGGGATCAAAGCTCGAGTTTCAGCTTTCCGATGCAGCCACGATCCAAGCAACTGCATGCTTGTAGTCACGGATGATTAAAAGGTATACGTTTATGTCCCGCTTTAGACAGTGTTGGTTCAGGTTGTGAGCCTCCAGCCGGAGGATTACTCCAGGAATCCCGCAGAGTTGCTTCGCAATGAGAAACTCTGTCCTGTGCAGAGCACTGTTGCAGGCCGTCCCCGTTCAACATGACCATCCCCAATCAAGACAAATGGAGGCCAGGCCCCCCGCACTCTTCGGAGTATGAGAAGCAGAAAGATTTTGGATTTAGAAAGCAGATCTGTGCAGTACTTGTACTGGAGGTTGTTCTGCCGATCGCTGCTCTTGCCCGTGGACATGGCGGCACCTTTGGGCCCGAAGGCCGCAGCGCTTGCACAAATTTGCGCCTCCTCAGCTCGGCTTCAGCTCTGTGAAGACACCGACCCGCAGAGGTCTTCATCTGGGGCGAGCCCATGTTGCGAAGGCAAGGCTGTTCCTTACCCCTTGAAGATGCGCTTCTGGTGCTTCTGCTGCAAGATACTACACGATCTACGACCTGGCCAACAAGCGCATTGGCTTCTCTTTGGCCAGACAACCGAGTGGCAAGGCGAGGAAGTGAGGAAGTCTTGACCTGGCTGTTTGGGCCTCCAGACTCCAGGCATCTTGTTGCAGCTTGGCCCAGGCATCTTCGCCTCCCATCGGTGCACCTCCGGCAGGGACGCTGGTCTCAGGAGAGGGCAGCCATTTTGTGCAGAAGCGCCGCTCAGCAGCTAAGCGGTGCTAACACAGCTGAATACGCTTATCATATCGCAACCAACAAGCTGGAGTTGTAAGAGAGCTTCGACCATGAGACGCCAAAGATACCTGGGTTCAAAACAGGAGCACCTTTGCGTGGAGCTCAGGCTCAAACAAGCACCGTTGCGGCGTGAACATCAAGTCTTGTCGCAGCCGAGCCATGCCTCTGTGAGCGAAGAGTGGTCTGAGGTCACCTGCTGGAGAGGCTGCCTGATGTTCGCTGTCTTTTCTGGCTGAAGATGTTGTAGAGTGGAGTAGTAAGGGCTTTGTTTCTGGAGCTGAAAACAGTGCAGGTGGTGGGATGAGCTCATCCCGCGCGACATTCGTTGTTGCCCACCGCCTGTCCTGTCAGCTAGGTATAATGCACAGTATATGTTGCAGGAGAACATATGGAATGCTGTAAAGCTAAGACATTGACAGCCTGTTTAGCAGCTCTTTTAGTTGCACATGGTCACGAGCACATCCTCGAAGAGTGATGCAAGAATTAAAGCTTTGTCTTCACTTGGAGCAAGCAAAAAAAGAAACAGAAAGAGCAGAGCGGTACGGTAATTAGAGAGCTTGGGCTTGACAATGTCGGACCTTCGTTTGGTGAAGCGCTCTACTTGGTAGCTTGGGTTCAGCAGCTCCGAGCCCGCAGACATGTGACACAAGCAGACTTATACATTGCGCTGTCACGGTGGAATCGTAAGCAGTGAGATCATAACTACAGCAAGAAAGGCGAAGGCAGGCATGACCCTGCAGCGAGCCCTTAAAAGGTAGAACAAGTTAAGTGACATCTTTGCAAGAGAGCTTGTGGGTCGGGGTGGGCCATAGTCTTAGTTAGGCAACTCAAACAAATCTCATGCCGGTTCCAACTTCGGATCCATCCTCGTCTGATGATGGCGACTCTTCCACCTGATGCAATGGAATGAGAACTGTAGCCCGGGTAGCCGCTGCTCATGCCACAAAACATGCGGCTCGGTTGGTTCACTGTGCTCACTCGTAGCTCGGGCGCAGGATCGGGAGCTCGGTACAGTGCTGCCTCCCAGGAACATGCTGCCTGGGACAGCAGCTCTGTGCCAAGAAGATTGGCAACCTTGATACGACACTTCCGGCGTCATCTCAACGAGAAGGACTTTTCAGATCCTTTAAGGGGCACGAGCTTTCCGTGTCGTGGTGCTGAGTTCTCCCAGGATGTGCAAGAGGACTGCATCCTCGCGCTGCAAAGCCTGCTCAAAGTTCCTGCTGTGGCTTTGATCAGCACTTCATTTGAGGCTTGGGGCTAGGTCGTCTAGGTCTAGGTGACCTGTGCAGACAGTTGTGACAAGGTAGCTTTGATGCTGCCCCCGTGTGGCGATGCTTGGAAGAGGGCGCTGAATGAAATCGAACAAGCAGGCCCTGGACTCAATTGCATGCAAAGCACTCCGAGATTTTTTTTGCCAGGCTTGCAGGCATCTAAGCGAGCTGTTCGGCAGCAGAACCACAATTTGATGTTGCTGTGGAACAAAAAGGGTGCAAAGAGCAGTGAGCACTGGCTGGGGCATAATACACTCAATGTCTGCTCTGCAAAATGGTGAAAGAATGGTCCGATTTGGAGTTGGCCAGTCTCCCGAAACGGCAATGTTTGGGCTGAACGGTCGATCTTTTTTTTGGCACGGCTGCTTTCCGTGTTTTGGCTGGGCTTCAGGGGCTGCTGGCGCTATTTCTGGGGGAAGTTTGATCAAGGGAAATGCGATAGTGTGCCAGAGTCCAACATGATGCGTCCAGAGCGGGTACGGATGCTCACGCCAGGTGCCAAGACTGCCATCGTGGCCGAGACAAGTTTTTGGAACAGCCCCAGGATGCTCTACATCTTGAAAGCGGAGCAGGTCCGACTGCATGATGTCTCACTGCCTTTCACTTGGTGGCACTGAAGGTCACAACACAAAGCCCAGTGGAACAGCTGCAAAGCCTGCTGGAGGCCGAAGAGCGCGTGACCATGCGTGACCCGTCTTGTCCTTGTCCGGCCGTGCTCGGCGACTCGCCACAGGTCGCTGCTGCAGCGACGCTACATTTGAAGCCTGCTGAAGGTCCATGGCTTTGGGCTCTGCATGAGCCTGCCTCTTTGCTGCAAGTGTGTCGAAGACACCAACAAGCACAAAGCACAGGGAGCAGAGGCAGGGACATTCAAGCGGGTCATGTCGCGCAAGGACGTTTCAGCCGCTCTCTTAATCTGCGAGGCTCGGCCAGATCTGCTTGCGCCAAAGACCTTTCACATTCATAGCCTTTGTACAGCCTTTCTGCTTTCTCCACATCCCGAAGGCACTGGATGACACAGAGACGTCACTGGACTGCAGAGTAGGAAGAGCCTGCTTGCCTGGGGATGAAGTCCTTGAAGCGCAGGATGTAGCCCACGACCATAAGCTCTTTAACACAAGGTCGCAAGGAGAGCCATGAAGACAGCGCATTCGTAGCTCCCAACCGGTTGTCACTCAGCATAAAACAAACACCTACTCTAATACAATAGGAGGCGGCCTTTTCCTCGAAAAGGTCTGGAATGTTTGGAGTTGGATTCCGATAGATTCCCTGGTGATAATGGTTTCAAGCATGAGTCAGCTTGATCATGACCCATGTCCCCCAAACCTTTCAAGAACCAGCTGGGCCAAGTTGCTTCTGGCGTGCACTTCGCAGTCTGCGCATCCTGTCGCCCGTGTGCTTGCTGGAGCAACTGCGACATGTCAGAGACCAGTACGCCCCATGCACTACTTATATTCTGGCTTGGATGAGCCTCTATGCACAGGGCATGTGGCCTTTGCTTGCCTTCTGTGTACCTTTTGCGTTCATGTTCAACGAGAAGCCGGAGCTGCTGGGCGCGTCGAGTTGGGAGTTCTACACGCTCCAGGCGGGCTGTCGAGCACACAGAAGGACATACAAGTTACTATGCAGTATATGGTCCAACAATAACAATCGCGTTTCCGATTGCTTTTCAGAATCGTTTCCAGCAGAGTTGCTGTTCTCTGCCACCAGAATGCAACAGCATAATTCTTCCTCAAAGTTGGAGCCTGTTCAAGGAATGCGGAAACCATTGGGTCTGAGGTAGATCTCCATTCTCCTAAACGTAAAAGTAATTAAGACTCTATTCCCCGAGCTCATGATAGGCCGACTGTCAGGTCGTTGTGATCTTGTGGGCCATAGTGATGATCGGCCAGATGCGAAGTCGCGCTCGATTCCTCGATTCCTACATGGCCGAAAAGGGCAAAGGCCCCATACTGGACGGGGATGAGATCTCACCTATGCGACTTTGTTGGAAAGTGTATCTACCGTCAATCATGGTCGTGTTAGCAACTTCGTTGCACGGCCGAGCTGCAAAGCCATTGATACAGGACCGGATAAAAGCTGTTTCTGAACCAAAGCAATGTGTCCATGAAAGTCTCGCGACGGCTGCGACAAGTGTCTTTTTCATCATCTAGGGCATAGAAGGCTTATAGAGTCCCAAGCGCGTTGTTGCAATCGAGCTGCCGGCTCTAGGGAGTGCGAATATCAGGTTCCCGAGCAGTTTAAGTGGAAGTAGCCAGACCTACTCCTGCGCTACTTACTAGTAACAACTGCTACTACGTACTGCTACTTTGTACTGCTACTTTGTAGTACTATTACTGCTGCTGCTTCTACGAGTACGACGACGACTACTCGACGACGACTACTCCCACTACTACTGCTGCTGCTACTACTACTACTTCTACCGCTACTTCTTCTTCTACTACTACGACTACTACTACTACTACTACTACTGCTGATGCCTGAAGCCCCTTCCCTGTAAAGTCAATCAGGTGGAGCTTGATTGTTCAGGACCTTGCCTTGAAGCGGAGTGGCTCAGAGAGCCATGATCGGCAGAAGCCAGCACGCACGGCTTAGGTCCATGAGCGGCAGAAGCCAGCACGCAGGGCTTAGGCCATGATCGGCAGAAGCCAGCATCGCAGTTGCTTAAAGCTTAGCCTAGACTGTGCACAGATGTGTCTAGGACTGCATGCACTTGTTGTGTTGACGGAAAAACAGAGGGTAGTGTCCGCGCTCATGGTTGTGGGATTCCCTTCAGGAATCTTCCGATAAAGTTGGAACGATACTGTTGAGGAGGCGCCGTATGTCGGGTTCAGCTGAAGGGCAGGACAGTGCAGCTCTTCAGGTGATGAGCCCAAACGCTGCTACTGAGCAAGGAGAGGCTCTGCGTCCTGCTGAGGCGACTAACGGCACCATGAGAGGGCTACCGAACGGTGTGGCGTCAAGGGAACTTCAGACCTTGACGAGCGGATCCCGAGGTAGCGCGGATAGCATAAACCCTTCTGTGAATGAGGGCGTCTTGGCCACCCAGCCGGGTGGGTCGAGATCCGAGGCTCGTGCGCTGACTGAGGTTCCCGCGCCTGGGAGAGTTCAGGCCTTCGTTCCTGGACAGCAAGCGATGGGAAGTCAGGCTTCAGTGGCGGCTGCTATGGCTTTGCAAGATGGGAGTGTGCATGCTGTGAGGGCTGATATGGAGGTGCAGCAGGGCTCCTCTTCGTTGACTGTTGTGCGCTGGATTTCAAGGTTGAACGATTTCTTGGCGACACAGAGTCAGTCGGTGCTTGGTTCGGTTGGGTTTAACGCGACGCCTACTCAGGGGCCCCGACATTCACGAGCCACACCACAAGCACTCACACCAGCAGCAACCCCAACAAGACGGCAGCCAGCAGCAGCAGACGGGCCGAGGACTACCACAGGTTCGCCTTTAGAGTTTTCTCCGCCGGAGGAACTGCCCCAAGGCTATGTTGGAAGGGGTCCTCGAGGAGAACCTCAGGAGGCACCGCTGTTCTCAAGGGAAGCTTGGGAACAGATGATGGGTTTTTCGCAGAGGGCTCCGTGGCTTTATGGTCGAGGGCCGTCGCAAGGGGAATCGACTACTGGGTCGTCTGAGGTGCAAGCCGAAGTTCAGCGTCAGATGGAGTTGTTGATGAGGGCTCAGTCGTTCCAGCTTGAAGAGATGAGAGACGAACTTCAGGCTCTTCGGGCTGAGAGGGCGATGTTAATGGAGGAACGAAGTTTCTGGGAGCCACGCCAACGGAGGCCAGAAGGGCAAGATGGTCCTCGGCATCATGGAGATCCTCAGAGTGGTTTCCAACGGAGGCCAGAAGGGCAAGATGGTCCTCGGCATCATGGAGATCCTCAGAGTGGTTTCCAACGGAGGCCAGAAGGGCAAGATGGTCGTCGGCATCATGGAGATCCTCAGAGTGGTTTCCAGCAACCAGAAGGGCAAGATGGTCGTCGGCATCATGGAGATCCTCAGAGTGGTTTCCAGCAACCAGAAGGGCAAGATGGTCGTCGGCATCATGGAGATCCTCAGAGTGGTTTCCAGCAACCAGAAGGGCAAGATGGTCGTCGGCATCATGGAGATCCTCAGAGTGGTTTCCAGCAACCAGAAGGGCAAGATGGTCGTCGGCATCATGGAGATCCTCAGAGTGGTTTCCAGTCTAGTGTTCCTACAGGGCATGCGTGTGGTCAGTCCGGTGGTGGCGCTCAGGGAGATGGCGGTCGTGTGCGGAAGGATATCTCAGGCGATGTCTATGATGGTCCACCAGGTCTGCTTGGCGTTGGAGGCGGCGAAGGTCGGAATGTGAGACCTCGGTTTCAGGAAGAGTCTCAAGGGGAACCATCTATGAGGGCACCTGCAGGACCTCCTACGGTGTATGGGCCGGATATCAGCGCAACAAGGTGTGAATCTGGGGGAACTGCGGCTTCAACGATGACGGCAACACCAATGTTGGTTGAGTCTCAGAGTGTTTCTCAGAACGTCCCTGCTGGTACGTCAAGGACTACAAGCGAACGCCTACTGGAGACACTGGCGGAGGGCATGCAACAGCTACAGAAGGCCCAGATGATCCAGCTTGAAAGGGGTGAAAAGAAGAAGGAAGAGGAAGCGCCTGAGCAGTGCAAGCCTGGAACTACTTCTTTGCCGCCGTTGGCGGCGCCTAGTGGACATGGAAGCGCGGTAGCCCTGCAGGACTGGATTGAGGTGATCGATGGTCCGCTCAGGGATATCTCGGATAGCAGTTCTTGGTGGTGGGACGCTGTGAAGGAGAGGGCGGCGGAGAGCTACCGGCGATGGGTGGCTTCGGGGCCCTACGAGAGGTTGGCTTTGAAGCCTCCTACGGCCGATGACCTCGAGAAGGGCAAGTACTCACGGTTGAGCGCGAGGACAGCCGGGATGATGTTGCAGGCGATGTCGGAGACGGTCAGAACGGAGATGGTGGCACGGGCGATCACGCGGTCACCGGTGGCCTTGTTGTTCAGGCTGTGTACGATGTATCAGCCGGGAGGTGAAAGCGAGAAGGCCTACATCCTGCAGTATCTGGTTTCGCCTCCGAAGGCCCAGACGGCAAGCGAACTGGTTTCAGTGTTGAGGCAATGGGAGAGATTGCTGCTGAGGGCCGACAACCTGAGCATCGCAAAGCCCGACCCTTCCCTCTTGGTGCGAGGACTGAACACCTTGGTGGCGGAGCTGTGGGCAAAGGACAAGGACGTGACCTTCAGAACTCAGTTGGTGAAGAGTAAGCTGGGAGTGGATGTCAGTCCCACTTGGGAAAAGGCGCTTCAGCTACACCAGCACTTGAGGGCGGAGTCTGAGAACCTTGTGAATGGACTACCTTCAAGAACGACCTCTACTGACAATCCAAAGGACCCCAAGCTCAGGCCTCTCCAACCAAGTACTCCTGCGCCGTCAAGATCAACGCCTCAAGGTGGAGCCACGACCTCTACTACACCCGCTGGAGGAACCACTGCGAGTGCGAGCGAAAAGAAGTGCAAGTGGTTCACCGAGCCAGGAGGATGCAAGCGCGGAGCTGCCTGCAAGTTTGTCCACTCGTTTGAGGGCGTCTCCAAGAAGAACAGGTGCTACACGTGTGGTGCGGAGGGCCATGTCTCAAGTGCCTGCCCTACAAAGTCAGACGCCAGTGAATCCAAAGGAAAGGGCAAGGCGAAGGCAAAGAGTGCCCCAACAACTCCGTCGGCCAAGGACGATGCAGCAAAGGGCGGGGGAAACCCCGCAGCAAGGTCGATGTCGATGGAGCCAGAGCCACAGCCATCGGCGCCTACCTCACCTACTACATCCGAGAACACGGGAGGGGAAGTGAAGGAGGCTTTGCGGGATGCGGCTCAGGCGCTGAAGTCGCTGATGAGTCCGGGGACAACACCTTCGTCATCTACTACATCTACCCTTGAAAGTCTCCAGAAGCAACTGGATGAACTTCGGTTGAAGGCAATCAAGGTGAGCGAGGAGACTGTGGAGATGAGAAAGTCCCAGCAGACGCCGTTGGACCAAAGGGTTTTCAGTGGGCTGCCGGAAGTCCCGACGCTGATTGACTCAGGAGCCACTCACATACTTCGACAACCCCGTGATGAGGAGGAGCTGAATGCCGCATCAAAGGTGTCTGTGACCTTGGCAAACGATGAAAGGAGAGATTTGCTGCAAACTGAGACGGGCGCGATCCTTTCAACCTCACCAAGGACCCAGCCGATCCTGCCGATGGCCGAGCTCGTGAGTGCGGGATGTGAGATCAGCTGGAAGCGTGGGGTGTTCAAGGTGGTTCACCCAGTATGGGGAGAACTCAAGACGTCGCTACGTGGTGGATGCCCAGAGCTTGCGCAAGACCAGGCGGCTAAGCTTGTGAACTTCATTGAGGAGAAGAAGCTCAAGGAGTTTAAGGACGGGGTGCATCTTCTCAAGAGCAAAATTGAGCACCTGATCCATGAGGAGAAGCTGCCATGGACCACCTATGCGATGAGGTATGTGGAGAGCGGCTCGGCCAAGAACCTGTGGAAGGCGATGCATGGATCCTTCATGAAGGGGTTCTCGGAAAAGGCCTTGGATACGTTGTGTCCCGAAGTGCGACTACATGATGGATGGAACACCCTGAAGGCTCTACCCCTTCCTCGGCGACTTCGGAAAAGGATGATGGAGTCCAAGCGTTGGATTGTTCACCTACCTGTACATCGGGATGAGGCTTTGTTGAGGCCAGAGACCTACGGCGAGGACGCGGTGGTGGTGTCAGTCCATGGAGGCCTACTTCCCCAAGCCTATGAAGCGCTGATGTGGGGAGCTGCTACGGGAAGGATCGCCGCAGTCACGGGTGCCACACCTTCATCCTCGGCGGGAACTGAGGCTCAGGCGGTGAGGTTGGCCCGAGCTCTTCTGTTGTACGTCGTTGGAAGGCTTGCGAGACCTACGGGACGAACGGGGTTCTTCTGGACCAAGCCCAATGGAGCCAACAACGGTGAGGTAGTGGACCTGCTCAAGGATTTCAAAGGGGCTGCCTCCATGAAGGAGATCGAGTTCGATCAGGGAGCATGGGGTGGAGGACCACGGAGGCCTACGGTGGCTACTACAAACTACGAGCTCGACTGCCTGAGGAGGGACTACTTTGCGGAGGAGGGGAGCCAAGAACCTACTGGAGCAGAGTGGCCTATGGCGATGAAGCATGTTCTTGCGAAGACGATTGGTGCGGATCGCTTCAAGTTCCAGGCGGTGAAGGAGGACGGTGCCCTCAAGGCTATGAGCCCCGAGCAGTGGAAGGAGCACGTGAGGTCGGGACACTACCCGTCACGAAGAGACTGCCTTCAGTGCGTTTCCCATGGAGCTACAGGACACAGACATGCTCGTGTAGAACATCCAGCTCTGTTTTGCCTTAATGTGGACATCACGGGACCTTTCAGGACTTCCGGAGAAGACCCTGGAGCGAGGGGAGATCGTTCAAAGGCCGCCCGAATGAAGTACCTGTTGGTGGCGAAGTTCACCCTCCCCAAGTCCTATGTCACGGGTGAGTTTGAACCTACCGGGTCGGACCTGCCAAATGAAGCCGAGGTTGGTTGCAAGGACTTGTTTGATGAGGACTCCAGCGGGAAGGCTCCGTTACCAGAGGTTCCTACTGACTGTGAGGAGTACGAGCCTTCGGAGCTGGGTGATGATGAGGGCGATGATGGAGCTGGCGTGGGACCCATACCTATGGATGTGAAGCCTCCGGAATCGACCTACTTGCTTTTCGCGGAGCCCCTGCTCAATGACAAAGGACCTACGGTAGCATCTGCGATTCAAGCGATTGTCCTCTACCTCCAGAGCTTGAACCTGCCGGTACTTCGCTTCCATTCCGACCGGGCCGCTCAGTTGATGACGAGGTCTTTGACAATGTGGTTGCATGGACAATCAATTCGCACCTCTACGAGTACCGCAGGGGTTCCCCAGGAGAATGGTGCGGCCGAGTGCGCGGTGAAGGAGGTGAAGCTCACTACAAGGAAGATGATATCCTCCTCCACCCTCGACAAGACCTTCTGGCCCGTGGCGGCAAAGGCAGCAGCGTCTACGCAAAGGGCGCGTGTTCTACGACAAGTACCGAAGATGGCAGCAGCTTTTGGAGCCAAGGTGTTGGTGAAGAAGCGAAGGTATGCAGCCTCAGGGGCTTTGATCAGGATGGAGTTCGATGAGCGCTGGGCTGAGGGTGTGTATCTGGGACTTTCGGACCAGGTGAATGATGGACACTTGGTCTATGTGGATGGGATTTTCACTCACACCAAGAATGTGAAGGACAAGGCCAAGTTGACTGATGCTGGAGACCATCGAGGTGACGGAGAACTCCTGATTGGTGATGAAGAAGATGAACGCCGTGAGGCAGGGGGCTCGCCACCTACCAGAAGGAAGATTGTTGGGAAGTCCGCACCGAGAATGGCGGTGTTCGGCGAGGAGGAACCCATCTACGATGATGACCTGGAGAGCGACAATGGAGAGGTGTCGGACCTTGAAGAGGAGTTTGCTGAAAAAGATGGCGCCGGCCCTCTGCGCGATCCAAGGGTGGCGGTTCTTGGAGCCGACCAACGTGGAGTTTCTGAAGGCTTCGCTTGTGATGATGGAGAAGTTCTGGACCCTGAGGACTATGCAAGGGAGATCCTTTATGAGGATGAGGACATTGATGAGATGGCCGTTCAGCGGTTGTTTGATCTCCTACCGAATCAAAAGTTCTCGAGGGAGACTCAGGACCCAGATGGCGGAGCAGGAGATCCCAAGGCCTGGGCGTCTGGAGCGTTCCGACATGGGGGAGTTCTTGGATTGAGGAACTCTACAAGGAAGTTTCCTTACTCGACGAGAGTGATCAACCAGTACATTCGCAGAAAGTTGGGTACCTCTACGACCTGGTCGACCTTCTCCCTGCACCGGAACCTCAACGTGAAGAGGCATCGGGACTCTCACAACGCGAGGGATCAGCAGTCCCATTTGATCCCAATCACCGAGTTCAAGCGGGGTGGTTTGTGGACCCAGCTATCGCCATCTGAGCAGGCGACTGAAGGTGAGATTGTTGAGGTCGATGGGAAGCGAGGCTATGTACTTCCTCTCTTTTCCGAGGAGGGGAAAAGGAATGTAGTTTCCTTCGATTCCCGACAGTGGCACGCTACGATGCCATGGGAAGGAGAGCGGCTTGTGTTGGCGGTCTACACGGTCCGAGGACTCGACAAGATTTCAAAGGTTGATGAGGACCTGGCTCTGGACTTGGGTTTCCCGCTTCCGTTGAATGTGGAGGACGAACCAAAGATGTGCAAGATGATCCAAGGCGAGGGCGGTGAGCAGGTCGAAATG